CAATCTCAGACAGCACATCCTGGATCAATTTGTTAAAGATCCCAGGTGCAGCGCAGTGACCCTGTGGCAAACGCGTTTACACATACTTCTTACCCTCGACTGTGAATGCCAGATACTTCCAGCACTCAGGGTGCAATGGGATGCAGAAGTATGCGTTACATAAATCAATGGTGGTAAACCATTTATGAGACGCTGGTAAGAATGCCATTGCTCTGTGTGGGTCAGGTGTGTCCAATAGTTTGTCTTGTGATCTCTCATTTAATTTCCTGAAGTCATTCACTAGTCTGCAGTATGGTTTTCCTGCCTTGTCTACTGCCAACATTGGAATATTGTATGGCGTATACTCTGGCGCTTCAACAATTATTCCTGCCTTCACCAATTCTGAGACTGTGTACTTCAATTTGTCCTGGAGTCCTGCTTTAATGGGATACTGCTTCTGGTAACACACTTGGTCATCAAACAGTAGTTTTATTGGCAGGATTCCCTCTGCTTTCCCAATGTCAAATGCATGTTTTGTCCATAGCCTCTCAGGTAAAGTATGCTTCTGCTCTTCAAATAGGTTTGAATTGGTATTTTCCCTGCCATGTGTCCTTGTTCTCTGTACTTCCTGCATAGTGGCTTTATATTCAATTGGGTCATTGAATTTGATCACATAACCTCCTGTGGTTTCACTATGCAGTACAATGTATTGTAATTGTCCCTGTTGCACACACATTGGTTTTAAATTACTGGCCAATATCAGTGCACACATTGGACCTAAGTTTTTGGCCTCTGCTTTGGACTCAATCATCATTGTTACATGTGGTGTGGATTTGTCAACCCTAAATATTGGGAGTGTGTCTGTGTTTGAATTTGTGTTAGCAAACGCCACCCCATGTTCTCCCACCACTACGCAATTCAGCTTTTGTGTCACTTTAGGATCTTCTACTCCCTGTGTCTGGCATGCACTAGTCTTGTACATTTCCCACTCAATCAAATAGTTTTCATATGATTGTTGATCTTCTGGATGCCTGAAATATGCCTGTGTACAGTGTACGACATCTACTGGAGACCGCAAGTCCTTGCATCTCTCAGTAATCCATGGCAAAAATGGCTTAACTAGTTCATGCAATGTGTCATTGGATTCTTCACTACCCTCAAGCCAAAAAACTGTGGCTATGTTATCGTCAATTTTTGGTGTTTTAAGTTTTTGTTCCTGCTGGAGCAACAGTTCAGTTTCGAGACCACAATCCTGTATTAACATGCCCAACTCATTTGACACTTCAATTTCATTCTGGAAAGAAATATCCAATTTCAAAAGTTTTATCAAATCCCTTCCCATTAGGTTGTGGGGACAGTTTGGGGCTATCAGAAATTCATGTTGGAACGTCTGCTTTACTCCTGATTAATAGGTAACTGTGCAGTCTAGAGGTTTTGAATAAAAAACTCTTGTAGCCAAACCATTAAATCCAGACACGATTTTCCACTTTTGAGAGGGCTCTAGACTGCATTTTAATGAACTAAATGTTGCTCCAGTGTCTACCAACAGTTTCTGAGGCTGCCCCTCAATTGTTATTGTGATAAATTTTGGAGCCACGTTAATGCATCCCTCTCTGTCTGGACCATGGCCCCTTCATTTCGGTAATAAACTGAGTTGATGAGCAGCGACCTCTGGTCTTGACTCTGTCATCTGGTGAGTGGTCATATACTGTGGCTGTGGTTGGCCCAAGACCATTGGCTGTTGTGGTTGTACCTGTTGAGGTGCCTGATACATCTGGTGTATTTGTGGTTGCTGGTATGGCTGTTGTGGTTGTGCCTGGTACACTTGTGGTTGTTGGTATGTTTGAAATGGAAACTGCTGCTGCTGACCTCCCTGACCCTGCATGTGTTGCATTCCTCCCGTTCTGCAGTTTCTTGCTATATGTCCGTACCGTCCACACCTGTAACACTTCATGTTTGATAAATCTCTGTCCTGTCTAAATTGTCCACCACCTCTACCTCTGCTATTCCTGGGGAATGTCTGGAACCTCTGTCCCTGATTTCCATAGGGCATGTATCCATTCATTTGCCATTCATAATCTGGTTGCTGCTGTGTTTGTCCAGTCTGTATAATCTGCTGTGGTTGCATCACCTGTGTCTGTGTCTGAGGCTGCAGTGGACTTGGATTACCACTAAACAACATTTCTGCTTTCTCCACTTTTTCTGGCTTTGGTTCAGATTTTTTAATCTCTTTAACTAATTCCTTAATCAGTGAAAAACTATCATCAGTTTTGGGGCTGTTTTTCTTCCGAAGTAGCTTTTTAATAGTACAATATGACCTCACAAAAGCTGGCGAGTCAGTATCGAAATTCAGAATGTGTTTTTCTTTTTCAGCTGTTGGTAGCTCCCTCAGCATCCGCTGATAGAACCTTTTTTGGTAACACTTTACATTACGGGCCGGTAAGTCCATGGTACTTACAGTGGTACTTCTAGGTACTTATTGTGGTACTTACAGAGGTACTTACAGTGGTACTTCTAGGTACTTATTGTGGTACTTACAGAGGTACTTACAGTGGTACTTATTGTGGTACTTACAGTGGTACTTCTAGGTACTTATTGTGGTACTTACAGACTTACAGTGGTACTTACAGTGGTACTTCTAGGTACTTACAGTGGTACTTCTAGGTACTTACGGTGGTACTTACGGTGGTACTTACGGTGGTACTTACGGTGGTACTTACAGTGGTACTTACGGTGGTACTTACGGTGGTACTTACGGTGGTACTTACGGTGGTACTTACGGTGGTACTTACTGTGGTACTTACAGTGGTACTTACGGTGGTACTTACGGTGGTACTTACAGTGGTACTTACAGTGGTACTTACAGTGGTACTTACAGTGGTACTTCTAGGTACTTCTAGGTACTTACAGTGGTACTTCTAGTGGTACTTCTAGGTACTTATTGTGGTACTTACAGTGGTACTTCTAGGTACTTACAGTGGTACTTAGAGGTACTTATTGTGGTACTTACAGTGGTACTTCTAGGTACTTATTGTGATAATTCTAGATACAGCTGTAACTTAGTAATTCAAGGATACTACAGCATTATTCCTATGTAGTACTTCTACATACATACATACATACAGAGGTCATTTGTAGGATTGTTTGACTATAAAACATAAAACAACATTATGTAAAACAAACGTCTTTATTAATATGGAATAAGTAGCACAGAAAGGACAGTATAAATACATTTAATGCATATTTCAAAACAAGTTTCAAGGACAAGGGAAACACTGCAAGAACTAGGTACCCAACCCAAGTAACAAGAATTACACATTAACACACCAGTAAGACTTGGCAGCAAGTACCAGGTACTTGGCAGCAAGTACCAGGTACTTGGCAGCAAGTACCAGGTACTTGGCAGCACAGTAAGTACCAGGTACTACCGACAAGGACTGGCCCATAATAAGACAAAGGACTTTAACATAAGTACCAGTGATAACACCAGTAATTATACAGTAAGTACCAGGTACTTACCATAGGGACTGGCCCATAATAAGACAAAGGACTTTAACATAAGTACCAGTGATAACACCAGTAATTATATAGTAAGTACCAGGTACTTACCATAGGAACTGGCCCATAATAAGACAAAGGACTTACCCATAAGTACTAGTGATACCAGTAATTATATAGTATACCATGTACTTACCAGCAAGTACCTGGTACTTGCTGGTAAGTACCTGGTACTTGCTGTTAAGTACCTGGTACTTGCTGGTAAGTACCTGGTACTTGCTGTTAAGTACCTGGTACTTGCTGGTAAGTACCTGGTACTTGCTGGTAAGTACCTGGTACTTGCTGGTAAGTACCTGGTACTTGCTGGTAAGTACCTGGTACTTGCTGGTAAGTACCTGGTACTTGCTGGTAAGTACATGGTATACTATATAATTACTGGTATCACTAGTACTTATGGGTAAGTCCTTTGTCTTATTATGGGCCAGTTCCTATGGTAAGTACCTGGTACTTACTATATAATTACTGGTGTTATCACTGGTACCTATGTTAAAGTCCTTTGTCTTATTATGGGCCAGTCCCTATGGTAAGTACCTGGTACTTACTGTATAATTACTGGTGTTATCACTGGTACTTATGTTAAAGTCCTTTGTCTTATTATGGGCCAGTCCCTATGATAAGTACCTGGTACTTGCTGGTAAGTACATGGTATACTATATAATTACTGGTATCACTAGTACTTATGGGTAAGTCCTTTGTCTTATTATGGGCCAGTTCCTATGGTAAGTACCTGGTACTTACTATATAATTACTGGTGTTATCACTGGTACTTATGTTAAAGTCCTTTGTCTTATTATGGGCCAGTCCCTATGGTAAGTACCTGGTACTTACTGTATAATTACTGGTGTTATCACTGGTACTTATGTTAAAGTCCTTTGTCTTATTATGGGCCAGTCCCTATGGTAAGTACCTGGTACTTGCTGGTAAGTACCTGGTACTTGCTGGTAAGTACCTGGTACTTGCTGGTAAGTACCTGGTACTTGGCTGGTAAGTACCTGGTAATGTGTAATTCTTGTTACTTGGGTTGGGTACCTAGTTCTTGCAGTGTTTCCCTTGTCCTTGAAACTTGTTTTGAAATATGCATTAAATGTATGTATACTGTCCTTTCTGTGCTACTTATTCCATATTAATAAAGACGTTTGTTTTACATAATGTTGTTTTATGTTTTATAGTCAAACAATCCTACAAATGACCTCTGTATGTATGTATGTAGAAGTACCACATTTACTACATAGGAATAATACTGTAGTGTCCTTGAATTACTAAGTTACAGCTGTATCTAGAATTATCACAATAAGTACCTAGAAGTACCACTGTAAGTACCACAATAAGTACCTCTAAGTACCACTGTAAGTACCTAGAAGTACCACTGTAAGTACCACAATAAGTACCTAGAAGTACCACTAGAAGTACCACTGTAAGTACCTAGAAGTACCTAGAAGTACCACTGTAAGTACCACTGTAAGTACCACCGTAAGTACCACCGTAAGTACCACCGTAAGTACCACCGTAAGTACCCCTGTAAGTACCACCGTAAGTACCACTGTAAGTACCACCGTAAGTACCACCGTAAGTACCACCGTAAGTACCACCGTAAGTACCCCTGTAAGTACCACCGTAAGTACCACCGTAAGTACCACCGTAAGTACCACCGTAAGTACCACTGTAAGTACCACCGTAAGTACCACTGTAAGTACCACCGTAAGTACCACCGTAAGTACCACCGTAAGTACCACCGTAAGTACCACCGTAAGTACCACCGTAAGTACCACCGTAAGTACCTAGAAGTACCACTGTAAGTACCTAGAAGTACCACTGTAAGTACCACCGTAAGTACCACCGTAAGTACCACCGTAAGTACCACCGTAAGTACCACCGTAAGTACCACCGTAAGTACCACCGTAAGTACCACCGTAAGTACCACTGTAAGTACCTAGAAGTACCACTGTAAGTACCTAGAAGTACCACTGTAAGTACCATGGACTTACAGGCCCGTAATGTAAAGTGTTACCATATATATATATATATATATATATATATATACACACACAAATAATAACCTTATAACGCTTCTTTAAATTTTCCCACTTCTTGCTGGCCTGCTTGTGGGTGATTACACCCTCCAGGCCCAGCTCTTTCACTGCTTGCCTGTAAGCATACAGTGAATATCAATATGGGCATGTACCTTGGGTCAATAGTATTATCAGATATGATTTGTACAATCTGGTCACTCACACCCACAAGCTTTTGGTGGTGAATTTTGTCTTTAAAAATTTGCCATCATTTGCTACCCTAAAGCGGATGAGGCCAAAGGTCTTCTCTGTAGGCCCTGAAAAGATATAAAAAAATTCCATCAGATTCCATATTTTTTCCCCCTCCAATGCTAAATTTATAGACCCGATATGTGTCGTGCGATATGGCATGTGGCAAACACAATCTACGGCGTTCTTTCATACTTTGTAAGTTTTCGCTTATGAATCGTAACGTGTAACTCAGGTTTTTCTGTGCTCATTATGCCTTGTTATCACGAATATTTGAAGCCTGGATAAGCACTTAACATCCGCATGTATACACCGGGACACACTCCCGGCGGTCAGTGTATATTGACGGGCAGACTCTTGCGAAGCACTCGGCATTTTTACGAACGTCGTCAAATAGCGACTTTCCAAGTATAAACTTAACAGTCCATTGCATATACATCGATTTAACACATTCCAACTGATTTTAAAAATTTACAGCCGTATTTGCTAATTTATACTTACATTTGTAAATTTCGCTTCCACTGGTTGCCGCCATCTTTTTTGCCGCTGGCTGAGCTTGCAAGGCATTATGGGATACTCCCTTGCTGCTATCCGGCCGCAAGTCTGCTCCTGTGCTGACTCGCTGCGGAGGGGCCTTTTCAAGGGGAGATAGGCACTTCCTCTATGCTCCCTAAGTATTGGGACACCCTTCCCCCTCGCGGGAACGCGCAAAATGAAGGGGAAGGGCTCAAAGCGAGGGCAAGTGTTGGAATTGGGACAGGGCCTAACTGTCCAACAAGACCCTCCTGTATCGACAAGGAAAAACTCTTAGGGAAACCCACAGGGAGGGAGACCCATATGAGAAAGGGATCCGCTCCTCCGGACGGACAGGCTAATGATCTAGGACCTAAGCTAGCTACAGAACGTGGACCAGTGGCCGCTGAACGTGGACAGGTCCGGTGCAGGACTGAAGCACTCCCAGGCGGGTCGGTCAGGGCAGTCCGCAGGTGTAGATGGAGGAGGCCAGGCTCAGAGATCCCGTCATCGTACCATGAAACAGACAATGGGACAACGGGTGAATAGCAATGAACAAACTACAGTCAAAATCCAAATAATGCTAAACAGATGAAGTAGGAAGGAGGAGAGTTTAGTGCTCAAGTTACCATACTTCTCCCAGCAAACTGACTCCCTAGGGAGCTTGACTGACAGTCTGAGGAGTTCAGCCTTCCCAGAGTCTTACCTTCCTAGCCATATGCTAAACCCCACCAACATTCGTATAGACGTGACATTTGATAATATATAAGGTCATTGCTTTTTCAATAATACACTGTACCTCAGAAGAACCATTATTCTCCCCTTCTCCATCCATACATTTTTTCTCCAAGCTGTAAAACCAAAACAACAACAGTGCTCAGATAATTTACGGGCCAATTATTGCCTCTTCATCTCCTCTCCATCATAAGAGTCCTTCTCTGCTTCTCCCATCACTGTGAGGTGACGCAGAGCACTGGGACTCCACTATTATCACAGTCATTAGCTGTTTTCAGCTTGGATGTGGTTTGATCGCCAAAAACAAAAAGCTGTGGAGATCCAATTATGCAGCGTGGCCTTGACACCCTCACCTCAAAATCAGAGCACGTCACTAGCTCAACTTTCATGTTACTGGGCGGCACGGTGGCTGAGTGGATAGCACTCTCGCCTCTCAGCAAGAAGGTCCTGGGTTCAAATCCCGGTCGGGCCAGGGCCTTTCTGAGTGGAGTTTGCATGTTCTCCCCGTGTCTGCGTAGGTTTCCTCCGGGTACTCCGGTTTCCCCTACCACTAAAAATATGTCCAATAGTTCTGGCATGCGCCTCCTGTACTGGCGACCCCGCTCCCATCTCTGTGTGGAGTGAGAGACAAATGCCCATAATTAACAATTGTAAACCGCTTTGAGACTCAGATCTGCAGTGAAAAGGCGGTATATAAATAAAAACTTACTTACTTACTTACTTACTTCTAAAGAAAGAGTATAATTTAAAAGACAAATAAGTTAGTATGGTGTTGATTGAAAGCATGTAATGGTTCAATGCATGCTCTAAAAAAACATTTCAGAATTGTTGTTTTCTTTCCTTTGTTCTCACAAAAGTAAGAAAATAATACAATAATGTTGATTGTGATGATGTTGATTAAATAATACATGCTGTTTCCCCAACAGTCTCGTAAAACAAGTACCATTAAAAAGTCCTGTGAGTCACTTCTTGACACTTCGGGTTGAAAGCTGATTGGCCAATCAGCACATCTGCATGAGACACCCCTTCCTCATGGCACTTTGAGTTGAAGTCAAACAGAAATCAGATTCAGGTATTTCAGTGATGCAAGTGAAACAAGAACACACAATTGACAATATAATCAATCAGAACAGTTGTATTTTAGAAAATCAGTCCAGTTGTTAATACATGTGCTTCAAGTCATTAGGGTATATTTGCAAACATAGTTCTTTAAACATTCCGTTTGTGAGGAATCTGTTCTCTGGATTAAGATTAGGAAAAAACTGTCCCATCAACTCTTCTCACAAATACACTTAAGGACTTCCACCATTTATTTAACTGTTAGCCCAGAGTGGATGGCACAGACTGAATACAATAAGTGATAATCTGATTTCACATTTGATAATTACATTGTGGCAAGTTCCGAGTTCGATTTTAAACCAATTAACCTTTTGCCTCGTACTTTTAGACTGTCACGGGTGTCGCTCACACAGGGTTTGGAATTAGTGCGGGCATCTGAACTACAGCAATCAGACAGAAACCGATCAATGCCAAAAGATGGATGAGTAAATCCAAATATGAACGGAGAGAAGGAGGACATGGACATGCTATAACTCTAAATGTTCTCGTCCTTTGATTTTATTATGATTGATACATCTCATATTCTATTGTCCTGCATTGGAGGTTTCAAGATCATCGACCACCCATCTCTCTGTACTTACTCCTGGTTAAAAGTATGTTGAATTTATTTTGCAACATGTTTTACATATGTGACATGTTAGTGAGTATATGAACCAACTTGGACCCTGAGGAGCACTGGGACTGGCCTCCTGCACAGTGGCTTCTTGCTTCATAGCAAGAAGGTTGTGGGTTAGGGTCGAACGCCCATAGGTTGTAAATATTAATGGACATAATGACGCCTATTTCCTTCGTTGAAACGTATGTATGTGTGATCAACATGTACGTTTTGAAAATGCCCACAAGTAGCCCCTCCCGCGGAAAATGGTGCAAAACCGCATACGTTAGCCGGCACTAGTCGCTTTCGGAGAAGAAGCTGTATCATTTGCGTATGTGTTAGATGCCATGAGCCTGACACATGGCTGAAAGACTGCGTTCGTTCAAAAGTCCACAGTGGTTAAACAAAAAATACTACCCTCAGCATTGACGGGCATGTAGCGTCCAGATGCAAGAGCCAAGAAGCCACTTTTGGAGCAGGCTGTGAAGCTGTTTTCGAGAGGGAAAAAGGTGCCATATGAATTCACTGTTTCCGGGTACAACCCCACGGGCAAGGAGCCAGATAGCAAGCATGTCAGCGCACATGCTCACAGACCTTTTTGAGCCAGGACCGGCCCCCACTGGCCCTGTGTCAGCCTTGGGTTTTATGTATAGAGTTTGCGTATTTTATCCATGGGGGTCGTTTATAGTCCATGTGGTCATTTTCAGAGGCTTCCATTTGAACACATGCAGTTTTGTTTTCTTTGAATTGTACGCGTTTATTATGTATAGTGTCACAGCAAATATTGTATAGCAAAAATGACTTAAAATTCAGAGTGTTACTGGAACGGATGCCTAGGTTTTGAATTTTTTCTTATTTGAAGTGCTAAACGGCGCCCCGGCTCCGCACAGCTCCTTCTCTAGCGAGCCTATAATTCACCCGGGTTAATACAAGACCACGACTTGTCCTCCGTGCGCCTTTTTAATCAAGGACTGAGGAGGACAGGCACACATCGCCAGGGCCATCAAAATATTAAGTCTCCCAGAACAACCTTGGCTTAACTTTCCGCTGAAAAAAGATGGGTTGTTGGATGTTATAGACGCTCCATTTAACGCTGTCTGGAAAAGCGGAGGAGGAAAAATGTGCCATGACAGATAGGAGACGGGGGACTAGACCGGAAAACAGCTGAAGTGATTTTTTTTGTCAGGTTTGGAATAAATACAAATTAGAAAAAGCATCAAGGTGTGAAAATTATAACATAAAACGTACCTTGTGTTCACAGGCCTTTGGTGCGGACGGAGCCGACTCTTTATTCAACAAACTTTTCATGTTGTAATTGTGTTTTTGTTGCTCTTTGGGGTTTTAAAGACACATAATAGCTGTTACAAAAATCAAAAGATCTCAAGTTTGGTAAAATGATAACGGCCTCAGGAGCGTCCTGAGGCAGCATATTTCTCTCATCCCGGTAACCTCTTTTGCATAGACAGTCGACAGTGTGTTTTCCAAGAGAAAAATACCGGACTGTTGTTGTTGGAGCTGAAAATCATTGAAACACAGAAACGCTTGAAGGACAAATAGTGGTTTTCATGACCCTCAA